TTGGATTTTTGTGCACATGTTGGCACCACCCCATGTGTGCACAAACCTCTCCCTCCCCCCCAGGTCCCCCCGATGTGCGTATTTAGCTATCCACACAGACGGGGCGACTTCAGTATTAGTATAAGGATGTGAAATCTAGTGCAAGATAAGCAGAACACAATGGGAAAGTACAGAAAGATATGCAAGATACAACCACCTTTAAAGAGTGAGGAGTCCTGTATCCATGTTAACATCTGGGTTGAGGATTGTAAATAGTACTGAACTTGTTAATGAATTCTTGTTTTGTAATTGAATATTGGATTCTTCCTTTTTTTCTTCCTTTGTCTGAGGACAGATGAACCATGGTATCAACATTGACAGGGCACTGCCTGACAACTGGATATGCCAGATGAGCTCATTAGAAACCCCCTTTCAACACAAACCTCCTGAAAATGTGACATCTTTTTCCTGCCTCTGGCTGGCAGATGAATTAAAGTTCTAATGATGCATACCATCTTGAAAGGAAATGACTGATCCAGACCTGCAACCTAATAGTGCAACCCCCGCAATCAAAGAGGGCAGGATTTGAACTCAAGAGTGGTGCAATAAGGGGACAAACTAGGACCTCTTTTGTTGTGGATGAAGGTGGCTTTCAGTTTCCAGAGTGACTGTGTTGCTTGGGGCGAATGCTCTGCCTGTCTCTCAAGAGTGACGGATTTGCTGGTTGCAATGGAAGACGCACAAATGCAGCCGGAGTCTTAACCAAGAGATGAATCACTTCCCTCTAAGTATCCAGGAAATGGGTTTGCGCTTGGAGCAAGTGGAGGACAGCACAGAATTAGTGAGGGGAACAGTATATTTTTGCCCACTCTCTTGTCCAACCCCCAGGGCAGTAGGTCATGCAGAGAAGTCATATGTAACATAAGAAAAGAGCCTCTGGATCTGGCCAAGAGTGTCTTTGATCCAGAGTCCTATTTAGGGATGGGCACAAACCAGGAAAATGCAGTTTGTGTCAGTTTGTGGCCAAACTACGAACCAAACCATGAGCCCAACCAGTTGACGATTCATGGCCCCACAAACCCCACTGAAAGGGTCTGCAGAAAACTAAAAAAAACCAGCTGTCTTTAAACTTAAAAAGGGACTGCACAAGACAGCTTGAAACAGCTGAGAGGGTGGGAGCACCTCCCCACCGCTGAGCTGTTTTTTGGGCTATCTTCTGCAGACTGGGGAACAGACAACGGGGTTTTAAAGAGACTCGGAGTCCCTTTAAACTCCTGCTTTCTGCTCTATTCATGAACCACCACAAACTGCTTTAAAAGTTTGTGCAAGTTTGTGACAGTAGACCTGTCACAAACTTTCGGTTTACGAACCATGAACAGGGCAAAATTCATGACAAATTTTGCTCTGTGGTTCGGTTGGTGCCCATCCCTAATCCTATTCCCACATTGGGTTCAGAGAGAAGCTTGGGGAAAGCTACAAATAAGGCACAAGGACCACAACCCTCTGCTGTTCTTGGAATTGGTTTTCATTAATACATTTCCTCTGAACATGGAGGCTCTATCTCAGACTCTATGTCAGACCTCAGACTGGCATACATGCTTCTCCCTTCCTCATTTCATCCTCACAACAGCCCTGCAAGGTAGGGAGAGAGAGAGTAACTGCCCCAAGTTCACTGAGCAAGCTTCGGGGCGGAATGGGGATCTGAACCTCTTTCTCCCAGATACTAATCCCAGCACTCTAACCACTACACCACACTGGCTCTTCAGAGGTCCCCTTTAGCTATCAAGGGGTCCTCTTTAGCCATCAAGGCAGATTG